AGCCACTTCGAATATCTTTAAAATAAAGACTAGATTTCCAAGCTCACTCTGTGGCCTTCTGCCTCATAACTGAATGAAGACCAGGGAGGAGGAAGATCATATCAGATCAAGCACTAACCTCATGACCAAGCACATTCCAGTCCATGTTCTGTCCCGAACAGAATCTGTCTAAGACATTGGCTGGCATGAAAGATATTCGGGCTGGTTTCGGATAAAATAATTTGGTTTAAGTGCAGGTCTTTGTTTAAATCTTGGCTCCTTCTCCTCTTGGTCGAAGTCAACAGGACACTCACTTTGACATTTACCCTCACTGGAATTTGTGGTTATAGAGTAAAAAACATTCTAATCTGCTATTCGGGACGTACAGTGGCGCATTGGTTCTACAATTTTAGGAAATATGAACAGCTTTATAAGACAAAATTCCTTTTACTGTAAATAAGACCATTGAAAAGCTGTCACTAACCCGCTTGAATTGCTGTTAACACCACTATGAACAAAGATAAACATGCTATCTACCCTAAGCACTTCCCTTTAGATGTGTATACAAAACCTAAGTAAGACTGGTCCATATTCAAGAGCACTTCAAAGAGATAGACAGGTCGATTTTAAATTCTAAAACTCACATGACATACTGTTCACACCACCTTACATCAAGCAGAACAGCCTTGATATCTGATGATTTCCCAGCAATGCCATCCTGTGATGGACTAGCGACCGTTGGGTATATGAGAGTGTGGCAAGTGAGCTGTGTTTCAAAATGCCAAAGATGGTAGATAAACTGTCAGATCTGTTAACATCCTCAGACTGTGAATGAGGGGGAGATATAAATGAATGTAGCTAAATGAAGTCGCTTATCTTTGTTAGCATTCCTACAGAGCTGCTGCCAACACTGCAGGAGCCCAATAGAGCATGGCGTTGAGAGCTGAGGTCACGATATAACGCTCTACAGAGGCCTATTCTGTCTATACAAGGCCACTTAGAGCATATCACATCAGTCAACAAGTACATACTGTATGCTGGATTGCGAACTGAAGAGCAGGAAACATGGGAGGTATTTCAGGCTACCCGAACCAGAGCAAGGGTTCAAATGGGATACTCTGTACATATTCATATGTACTCTGAACTATGCTTTTGCTAATCTCTAATCTCTGTTACCATTTGTAGTGTGCTTTACCTGTTGTCCTGCAAAATCCTCACTATATAGCCAGTCTCCAGCATGTGTTGTTCTTTAGACACTGGTTACCTTAAAGGCAGGGTAGATGATTTGTTCTAGAAACATTTTTTGTCATGCTGGTTGAAAGACTCTCTCTTCATATCCTGCTAGAAATCACTAAGTTAAGTGGTCTATATGTATTTATATGTGTATATTGTCTGTGGAAGGCATAGGACCATACAATGTCCGTCCAATCATTGCATTCGGTGCTTTGAGACATGAGGTAGTTTAACGCCGCAATCATGGCTGTACTGCCACGAGCGAGACCAGCACCAAACATAAACTGGCTTTAGTGCGTGAAAAGCATTGCATGCATTGTCTATCACAGGAATTACAGTTTTAACAGCGGCTCCAGTCAGCAGACAGCATGGCAAATGCTCTGTTCAAATCCATCAACACGCCACTAGACATACCACGAGACATTAATTCCTTTCAAGCGAGTACAGCCAGCACTGGAAAACAAGATCTCCAGGATGGAGTCCAGAAAGGCGCTCCCAGCACAGATTTGCCATAAAGCACCACTGGAGGAGTTGCTAATCTGATTGGGAATTTGTGGGGGGGTGGTGGGGCAATTCATCACGATCCCGTCTGACAGCCGAGGTGTGCCATCTGATCTGGTGGTGATTTCATACACCTTCAAGCAGAGCCAGCCGAGTGTCAATGAGGAGGAGACCTAATGGATTGAACTCCTCTGATGTTCTGAGCCAGAGACTTCCGCCAAGTGGTGCCTTTTAAAATGTGCTCCCCTTATTTCAAGCTTTGCTGTGTGAAAGTAGGGCTTCTTAGTTCTTACAAGACTAGAAGGAAGCAAGACCTAGCTTTACTTTCCTTTCATCTGGCCCTGGCCCTCCTCGCATAGCCTGCATGTCATTTAAGGCGGTTGACATAAAATAGCCTAATTATTTTGGCTGTGGCAGAGAGACCGGGTGCCCGTCTGCTGCGCAGTACTGTACTGGAAGCATCTGCACTAATAGCCGACCTGTAGCTGTGATGAAGTAATGGCCGTTACCTGATACAGTGCACAAAATGATTGGTTGTCATACGGTTACATGTATGACAGATTTCTGAGTGCTAAATTACCACGGGAGGGTATAAGAGAATGAGGGGGGAAACTTGGCACTTGATAATTGGGACTTCCACCAAGGGCTTTCTGTTTTGTATGATGTGGCTGTAACTGCTTAGGTATGCTTACACAGTCAATCAAACGTTTAGATACACTAAACTTAATGCCAGCTCCAATAAAGCAAACAGACTCTGTGATCCCACAGAACCATTATTTAACCACAACAGTTATTGCATACCTTGTAACACTATATGTTTTAACATGAAGTGTCATGATGGGAGCTCTTGTGCCCTTGAATAAAAGCTTTCATAGGGTCAAAGCAGTGCATGATGTGAGCCTTTTGGCTCCAAAATGACATTCCTGCAGCTCTGACAGCGGCTGTTCCATCTGTCAAGACAATCACTATTTAGCAAGAAGGGAAGAAGAGAGACATTTAGGTTTTGTTTAACCCATGGCAGGAACAGCAACGGTGACTTCCCAAGGCCCTGAAATTCCCACCTGCCCCATAACTCACTCACACCAGTAGAGAAAACATTCCACCTGCGCGAGCCGTCCAAACAGACTCGCAGACTCTGAAATTCTGACATTTTTGGTAATACAGAGGACATTTGATAATAATGCATCTAGAAAGCGATTTATGCATTGCAGACAGCACTGAGCAAACTCTCTATGGGCTCATTGGGATCGACTTCAGGCATACACCTTATCCTACAAACAGCATTACCTTTTGCTTAGAGTTGGTCTTTAAGAATTGATTTGGCTGTTTGATAGATGAATGCAGAGAGGGTGAGACGTAGTTTCTAAACAATTTCCCCATTCACAGCTATGACAGTTTTCACTCTCTGTACGCAAATATCACAGGTGCCCTACAGACAGGAATAGGATGAACAGACCAGTGATTTGGCTACATTTTATTTTTTATTGATCCACTTTTGATATTCTACAAACTATAAGTAACTTTGCACCTGCCTGTCAACTCTCATTTGAGTATTAGTTATTAATGAGAGTTAGCTGACATGTAGTTGCAAAGTTACTTATAGTTAGTATGTCTAAAGTGGTTTTACTTTGATTTGTTATGGAGCTTGTGACATGTGGAGGAAATACCAAAGCTGTTTTATGGCTACAAATTCATTCATTAAAATGAACATACCAGACTGCTGAAATTAAGATGCGGACCTGATGGCTTTTATGGAAAACATATAACAATTGCAAATCCTCACAGGCAACAAGAGCAGTATTTCTCCGTAATAAATTCATTCAGCATCAGTGAGACGGTGCTGAGAGAGGTCTCTTTTAGGAACAGCCTGGAAACACATACATCAGCAAGTGCCGAAGAAAGTATTTTTGTGAAAATAAATAAATCATTGTGAAATACTCTGGCTTTGTTTGGAAACTGGGAACAGACCCCCACATCCTTTCCAATCACGACTAAACATTGCACAGACGCACATCCAAGAACATCAAAACAACTGCAATTTAATGACGGGGCCAAAGCGGAGTTGGAAATTTTTTGATTTCCCCCTCTTATATTGCATCGCTCTATACCACAGTTTGCCTTCGTCCTTGCAAAGTCAGACTCTGAGCAGACAGCAAGAGCATACGCTGTCGGTGACTAGAGCCAAACACACTGACCTAATAGGCACTTGCGTGGCTCACTGGACATTGATGTCCACCGGCATGTTTTTTTTATTTGTCAAGTCTACAAAAGCTGACAGAAAGAGTCCAGCTGTAGACTTCAGAAATGCAGTACACATGAGCTGTGTTTTCGATTAACAAACTGATCACAACCCTCCCCATCGGCTTAGCAAAGTGCTCTACGATCGAGGGAATGGCCTTCAAGAGAAGCAACACTCACCACATTCATATTCCCAGTCGAGCATTCTGGCACAAGACGCATGAGAACTAATGCTAACATCTGTAGCTGAGATAATGTTAATGAATCTCTTCAGCCTGCATTTGGTGGTTTGTACAACAGTATTTGGATGCTGCAGTTCAGCTTAATGATGTAAACCATCTAAACAACTGTTTACAATCATTTCTATGCCTCTGTGATGTGAATACATTACCACAGAAGTCAAATATATCAGTCGTGATTGACCAAAGCACTGCTTATACTCTATATACAGTATACTGCCACTGAATCCTATCTTAATTTACTCACAGAAATTGTTTTCTTAAACAATTCTAACAAGAAGATAGATGTTTTATATCTATCTTCTTGTTTGAAAATGACCTGGATGTTATTAGGCAAAAGCAAAACATATGAATCATGTGAATGTCATCACTCCCGATTGTTTCCCATTATTGTGGACCAGATTCCTCAGTAAACTGGCTAAGTGGTAATGTTCAAGATCTGAGGGATGCCTCTGAATTGTTATTGATATATATATATTAATGCATTGTAGATTCTGGAAGATGTCATCGCTTTGTGATATTGTCACCATGCACGGCATATGTAAATGTAATAAAACGCATTACACTGAATGCATGACTGCTTGCATGTTATTAGTATGCTATCACCTCAAGTGAAAAGGCATGACTAAAATCACGATTAAACATGACCACCTGCAGTGCACGACGAAATTTCACTTTCTACACATTGCACACTTCTGGTTTATACACAATTTGCAGGTAAAATCACTTGGGAAGACCACAGCATCACTTCTATGCCATTAATGTTTCTCAGGATCTCCTATACGAGCCATCAAAGTTTACACCACCTACCTCCTTGCAGCGAAGGATTTAGCTGTATGGTGAGGAAGAATCCGAGAAGGAGCAACGCAGCCCTCCTGTTAGCCATCTCGCTCCAAAATGCACTGGCCCTCCCCGAATCAGCTGGTTTTATTCTCCAAGAGCTAATTACCACTTCAAAAATGTCTGAAAAAAAATGAAGAGGGGAGGAAAAAAGAAAATGATACTGGACACGACGTAATTAAGAAAGGGCAAAGCCGTTGGTTCGATGGATCATTGCACTTTTTTCTCTTCTGTGTCTGGTGTTGCTGTTTTTATTCTGGTCACTCCTGCCAAAAAAGCTGAGTGCTGCCAGAGAAAGAAAGAGAGTGAGAGTGAGTGGAAGAGAGAGAGAGAAAAAGAGAGAGAGAAATAGAAAGAGACATGCAGGGAGGAAAGACAGGAGAGAGGGGAGGGAAGGACGAGAGAGAACAGGAGAGACAGGGAGAGCAAGAGACCTTGCTTTCCCACTCTCTCGTCCAAGAGGAATTTCACTGTCTTGCCAGACATTTGCATGGACTTCACGTTTTTTATGTGAGCAGAGGAATAAAACAAAATCAGTTCTTGGATAACGATGTTCACCCCATCCCTGGGTTTCTTCCTTGCAACCACTCAAAAAAAACCTCATTGATCCTCAACTAGTTACAACTTTTCTCATTCCTGTAAAATGACAAGTCTTTTTTTTTTATTTTTTTTTTTACGTCAACTCAGTAAAGGGAAACTCGACTAATGTTTGTCTAAGAGACTTGGGGGGAAATTAAGCCCATTTGTTCTGTGAAGGGCATGAAAGCTTTGTAATGCATACACCTGCCAGCAATAACTGCAATGATACTCATTACATACAGTATGAACATGTGACTGCTTGCATGTTGTCTGTAATGAAATACCTTCATTAAGCATTTGAAAATGCACACAAACTTAATAGAAATTAATAGAAATAACAGGTGTTAGTGGATCAGGTTAAAAAAAAAAAAGAAGGAAAAGAAGAGTAACTCTTGCTCAAAAGAGAAACAATCTGGGCAGCTACAAGAAAGCAGACATGCTCATAAACATGAGAATCATGCACTTGGGATGAGTGGATGAGAGTCAATAGAAAGAAAGACAATTGATGGAACAGAGAGATGCCAAACTCACTAAAGCTTAGCTATTGCACTCATCCCCACTCTAGTCCTGAGCTAATTGCCAACCCTAAATTCTCAGTGAAATAGTTGGCTCTAAATCATGGCTCTAAATTCAGCCATGGCCAGAAGCCTGTGTATGTGCAAAGTACTTATTACCTACTTTACAAACTAAGACACAACCAGGACCAGAAAAATAAAAACCTCTATCTTGCTCCAGGTAGCACATGTATGCATTCAATGTGCATTATTTATTTCTTAACTAAGATCATTACATATTTAACTGTGACAATCAAGGCTGTTGGTCATGCAAAGAGAGGCACAGTGTCCACAGTGTCCAAGACACAAAATTCCCATGGAATAGGTAAAAAAAAAAAACATCCCTCATGGAGAGTCCAAGTTTTGTTTGTTTTTTAAAAATATTTTTCAGTTGGAGGAGCACTTCCAAGCGTGGTGAAGATGATTTCCTCAATAAGCTTTGTCTCCACAGATGGGAAGTAAGCTCAAGTGTAATTTTTCCCAAGAATGATGTAAGAGGAGTCACTTCGAAATCCTCACAGCTAATGAAACGGATATATAAAGCCAGATGGACAGACAGAGAGAAAGCATTTCTGAGTTTTTAAATCAACAAGCCCGATGAACTGAAAGATCATTATTTTTTCCAATTTAGCTTTAACTTAACACCATTTCTGGACATTGATTTATATCTGCAGTAGATTAATCTGCTGATTCATGGAGTCCTCTAGACAAATCTTTGAAAGACTTTTCCACGGTTAATTTCAACCAAAATTCTGTATCACTGTCCACTTTATATTTCATTGATTTAAAGTAATGCCCCAAGTACTTCTTGATTATTTTGTAACAACCCCCTGAAAAAAAATTAAGATATAATATTATTTATAAAATATATAAAGATATATCAATGACCTGTAATGGCAGATACATCACATTTGATGAGCTAGTCCTTTTTGAATAAGGAAATATGTCTGTAAAATGTCAACAGTTTACCATTATCTCACACCCTAAACATTATGAACCTTTTTATGAACCGCTTTCCGCATTCTGTGCAACCACATTAGTCCTGTGTTTAGCTTAAGGATAATAACTTTTGCCTAATGAAGCTGTGTTAAGACACTGAGTGCATTTTTTGGAAGTCAAATGCATTTTCCTCCTTTTTTGTCGGCTTTTCTATTTTAGCTCACGTCTGGTGCGTGTCCTTTCAGCATCTTGGAGATGCCAAAAAGACTCAGCTTGTTTATGAATCCGAGGAGTATGTGAATATTATCCAGACCTGCATTTGTCAAATAGTTCAGTTGTTAAAACATTCAACACTTCATTCTAAAAGTCTGGACATATCTTGGAATTCTTGTGGTTATATCTAAGAAATAATAAGGCACGTTTAAGTCACTCTTTGTATTATACACAATGGTCATATTGGTAACACTTTACAATACGGGTGCACTAATATGCATTAATTCATGTTTAACTAATGCATAGATAATCATGAGTTAATGTATGATTCATGAAGAACTAAACCATTAATTAATGATTACTGCATCAGCAACTAATAAATATGATTAATAGATTAAGTAATACATGAATTGCTATTAATTCAATGTGTCATTGTGTATTAATTCCTTAATAACATATTTTATTAACTAATAGTGTAAATTAATGTGTTAATTACCACAATTAGTCAAAGCTATGCACTTCAACTTCCAGTTGTCTGCTTTAATTAATCATTAGCTAATGATTTGCAAAGGTATCATTATGTTATGACTTTACTTGTTGAGGCACATCATTATTAACTAGTCATTTAGTAATTGTAGTAATTTACACATGAATTTGCACTAACAATGAAGTAATTAATCATGTATTAATGCACATTAGTGTACCTGTATTATCTGGAAGTTGAAATACAAGGCTTTGGCTCATTCTGGTAATTAACATATTAATTAACACTATTGGTTAAAAAAATGAGTTATTAGGGAATTAATTCACAATTACATATTTAATTAATAACAATTAATGTATGAACTAATACATTAACCATACAGACTCTTAATTAGTTCCTAATGTGGTAATCATTAATGAATAGCTTAGATAATCATTAGTTACACATTAATTCAGTATTATCTGTGCATTAGTTAAGCATGAATTAATGCTTATTAGTGCACCCGTATTGTAAAGTGTTACCGTTATATTTGTAGCAGAAAATGAATTCATTTTAAATATCATGCCTTCTGTTTTATAAAGAAGAGGATAGTGGTTAGCACATAATTGCCTGCAATCACAGTCAGTTTTTTTGCTGTGTGATTGGCTTGTGTAGTCTTGTCCCCAGGAATTGGCAGTGTTCCTAAATCACAACTTACTGTGAAATGCATGTGAAAAAACAATGTTGTGCTCTTCGCTTAATCCTATTTTAATCAGACTTTAAAGATAGATAGTTCACATAGATGCTATGGGCTCTAACATGCTTTCAGTAAGCCTACAGTAACATAGCGCCTTCAGAAACAAGCTAGTCTCACAGCGCCCTGCTCAAAGAATAATACTTTGCTTGGGCTTTAGACTTCATTTTCCTTGGCTAATTCTCATTGTTGTATTTTTAAATATGACTTCGTATTTTCTTTCGATGAATATGACAGTTTTTTTTTTGTTCAAAATCTAGAGTGAGCACTTCACCAAATATAACATTGTATGGAACTTGATAAATAATTGTTCACATATGTCATATGTCACCTCCTAAAAACATGAACCAAGGATCCATTGACACAGGATCCAAGCTTTTCATAATGTGGCCTTCTGTCACATGTCCCTAGCAGTCCATGAAGTATAAAAACATGACTAATAAGGAACTGAGTAATTTTCTGGCTGATGGTAACTTAGGTAGAGACAAAGTGTGCAGCTTTGGAAAAATCTCTACAATAGTAAGACTGGTGGTGTTACCCTAACTGCGCCCAATTGCACTGCAAGTACACTGCATTCCCTGTTTATTTGGGACACATCCGTCGATGGACACTCTCTCACTCTCTAAACTAAATAAATGCATCTCCGAGGCCTGACACCACACCTACTGCGCTTGTCTTCGCTCATCCCACAACAATTACCAAAGCCGGGTTCAGATTACAGGAGTTTTTAAATCCTCACAGATTCTCTCAAATCTCAAACATGTCCACACTACGAGATTTGAAAATTGTGGCATCGGCCAATAATCGGCATCTGCAGATAAGCGTCAGAAGGCGTTGGCAGGGCTGAAGGACCCTGGACATGGAGGGGTGTTAACTTTTTAAACGCCTCAGACTGAACCCTTGCCTCTTTAAACCTATCGACTACCATATCTATGGCAGTACCAAAGAGGCCAAAGGGTTAGATTGGAGCAAAAGATTCTCTTCTACTGTATGCCTGAGATGTTCAACCACAGATGCCTTTCCATGGCAACCATCTTAGCCATAAAACGGCCGATGGCACAGGCAACCTTCACAGCAAATGCCACACCAGGGGAGAGGTAGCCCACTAGCACCTCTTTAACCCAGGTCATTTTCTAATATCCAGTCTAATTTGACACAGAGGCGGTTACTATGTGAGCCGAATATGGTTTCCCCCTTTATCTCGACACCTCAGTATGGAGATCAGGGAGAAACAGAAGGTTCACAAGGGGAGAGCATCGATGACCCATGAGGAATCGGCAAGAAATGAAAAGCTTTAGCTTAAGTTTTGCCGGGAAGACTCAATTGTTACGTCACTTATTACCTTCTCATCTATCCAATCGTGTTCTAATACTTGTAGTATAAAAAATCGGTACTTACAAATGTCTGAGTTTGCAGATGCTGACGCCTACATTCACTTCCATCCTCCCCACCACCACCAGGATGGTCCCTGCCCATACCTCCCAGGGGATCGGCTGCGCCCCTGCCTTCGTCTTCAGGCAGGAAATGCAGATTCCGTACCCTCGGATTGCGAGCTACGGACGGGGCCTACGCCAAATAACTTTATATCAAAATACTTGCTTGCTGGGCTGTTAATAATGCATGCTTGTTACGTTATTTTGCCTCCCGAGTCTTTCTGGTAGAAATGGAAATACCCATCTTGAATTCCTCCGCCAGCTTCACCTGCAATCCCCACAATTGAAGCCACTGCGTGGCTGGACCCGAACCACATGGCGCAGATGCCTGGCTCCCATCTCCCATGAAGAGAGCCAGGAGCTTCCTCACTGTGAAGCGG